TTAGAAAAATTAAAGGAAACTTAATTAATTTGGTCCCTAAACTTTATCATTCATACCGATTTATTTACTAACTTTTGTTCCGAACCAATTTGATACTTGAACTTAATTTTTGGATCCAATTAAAACTTCTTTCAGGCAATGCCATCGCCTAAAAGAAATTTGGCTCCTAACTTCACACGTAAACAGGGGCATTTTGAAAACTTTGTGAATTATCTCCTCCCTCCACCTCCAACCTTCATTGCTCGCTACCCACCTCCTCCTTCTTCCACCGTTCTCCTCCCAGCTCTCCTTCTCCTCTCTCTTTCCCCAACTGTTGAATTTATTTTGTAATTGAGAAAGTTGAAGAGGAAATCTGCAAATGCTTTATGGCTCAAGTGAAAATATCATAAATATGCAATTTTTATCATATTTGCCACCATTATGGCTGATGGAGAAAAGAAGATCCAAGCCACTTGCACAATCGCTGCTGGAGCATTTGTTAGTTGCAAACTTGCAATTGGTGCACTGTCATATTCTTCAATGCAGCCTTTTGTTGATGCCCACCTTTGCTTTGATACTAACAGTTCCCCAATATCTAAAAGGCATTTTAGCTTTTGAGCCCACCAACAATATAGCTTTGTCTAGCTTGCTTACAAATTCTTGCAAGTTCATGCTGCTTCATCTTGAAATTTTCACACGGAGATTAGTGATTTACAAAGGTTACAAAAACAATCCCACAGCTCTTGACTTTTAGCTTTGATCTCTGCAAGCTAGATGAGTCTGCAAGCCAAATGCTTACTAATTGTTTTTTTTTTTCCTTGTTTACTTGATTTTATTATAACCACGTGCCTAAAGTTTCCAAAATGTCCTTATTTAGTTGATGAATTAGGAGCCAAATATCTTTTAGGTGGCGGTGCCACTGCAGGAGGTGCAGAAGGTCTTAATTAGATTCAAAAATTAAATTGATGCATCAAATTGGTCAAAAATAAAAATTAAGAATTAAATTAACATTAGTGAAAAGTTTATAGATGAAATTGACAATTTATCCTGAAAACAGTGGGAAAAAAAGAAAATAAAAAACCAAACAATTTTTGTGTTTGGATTCCAAGATTTTGAAATAAAAATTTTAAATTTTATTTTACTTACATCATCTACATAATTTTCAATCACTTATCTCATATAAATATTATAATGCTGTTATTATATGTGTTATAATAATTATTTTAAATAAATATTTTAGATCTGAGTTATGGCTTGTGCCCTACAGGCGAGTGCCCTACTGATCTCTATAAAAGTGGGTTCCAACAATAAGACGTAACATTCCGTCTGAGCTCCTCTCGGCTATGGCTTTTCGCCGCCCGAACGCCGTTGCTCTTCATCTCTCCTGCTTAATTTCTGTCGCAGGAGACTGGCGCCTTAGGAAAACAAACCCTGTTTTCGCTTCCCAATATTCCCAATCTTTTCAAAATGGGGGCTTTTCTTGTTTTAAGGTGCCGGTCACCTGTGGCAGGGGAGCCGAAGAATTGAAGAGCAAAGGCGATTTTGGGCGAATCTCTACTCAGGTGTCCACGATTTTATTTTTGGTGGTTGTTTTTTTTTTTTAATTTTTAATTTTGGGTTGGTTTTAGCTGTATTGACTGCCAAATGTCTCTGCCCGTCGTGTGTTTGTGTTTGTGTTTTGTGCTCGTTTTTGTGCTCTGGTGAGCAGTTTTTTGTCTTGACATAAGCAGTTGATTAGATGCATCTAAGTCTATTTGTAGGCATCTGACCTCCCAGTCAGATGGGATTATGCTGCGATATGTTACCACACTTCTGTAGATGGGCTAAAACTTTGGACGAGAATCAACCAAAAATTGTTTGCTGCGTAATAATTATTCCAAATCAGTATTTTCCCCTGTTTTGATGGAAATCTGGAGCCAGGCTAATAATTTGTACATCAATGACTTAAAAAAAATTTGTACATCAATGTTTGTCTTTGATGAATGTGTTTTTATTTTAGATATATTAGTGTGATTCTTGCATTGATTATCATTACCAAGATAAGAGTTTATTGCTAATTGAGATCTAGAAGTCTTTTATTACCTAGAAGAATGTTGATTAGCATTACCAAGCCAAGTTGCTATTGCTCAATGCAATCTGGAAGTTCTCTTTTACCAAGAAGAATAGATTGCTTTGCCAAATTAGATTGTTTCTCGGGTAGCTTAGCATTACTGGGCCAAGCTGCTATTGCTAAATGAGGTATGGAAGCCTTTCATTTCCTACATAATGCAATTTTTTATCTCTTATGGGTCCAAAGATGAGTTATTAGATAATGTATCTGAAAAGCAGGTTATAGGGTTGTGATTAGTTTCAGTTGTCTACTAAACCAAGTGAATTTTGTACATCAAAAATATGATTTGATTCAAGACTTTGTGATATTTCAGTTGACATCAATCAATTCACTTAGTTTTGATAGGCTCAGTGAAACTGATAGGCAAGACTTTGGGAGAGAAGACCTCTTCTGGTCAAGAGGAACTTTTATTCATATGTTTCAGTTTGGGTAAGTGTTTGCATTTGATCAATCTTAGGTCTCTACATAATTTCAGCTCAGTCATCTCATGATACTTACCGTTATATGTTTTGACAAGGATATTGCCAAAAGCTTCTCTAGAGATTCTTGTGTATTGAGGCTTGTTTAATCAGGCTGCATTCCCTTGATTTTCATGTGTTAAGTGCAGTATATTTCATCAACATATCTTTTTATAACCTTCGCTTCCTATTTTGTTTTCTAGATGGAGGAAAAAGGAGTATTTTGATGGTAGATTTGTTAAGGGTGACCTAGATAAAGAACACAATCTTGTAACCTCAACTACTCCTATCAGCATATTGTTTATTACCAGGTGATAGAATAGGTCTGTCCAATAATATTGCTTTTGGTTTCGTAACTTCATTAGACGGAAGTCAAATTTGAAATTCACTCACAGATGTTAGTTGACGGAGTTTAAGTAAAACTACAGATGGAGCTTCTGTGATCCATGGCAGATTCTGTTCTCATTTATACATTTTGTTTGGACTTGTTGTCGACCAATCCAACTTGTAACTAGCATGTCTTCGGTTGGGTGCTAGTATGCACCCTTTATTGCAGAGATGATTGATGTATCAGATTTGCAAGAAATCTTGGTTTACAAACTGCGTTGGCAAAAATGCATTCTTCATAGTGAATAGGATTCATGAATCAGGTTAAAGGCTTGAAGTTTGCAAGAAATCTTGGTTTGTAATTACTTTTCTACTCTATTTTGGTGGGTGTTTTTAGAAATATCCTGTGCTGTTTTTGTGATCCCATTAGAATGTCAGGTCCTATCTTGAGTGGAGAGTAAGAGACCATGGATACCATGATTTTAATGTAGATATTTCCTTGAGGTACTTCACCTTCTTTTTCCATGCCACTATGTCCTCCTCTTTTGCACCCTAATGTAGTGCTTGCTTTTTCTGTTATACTATTTGAAAGCTTTAGCTTTTCTCTCTCATGACTTTGGTGCATATGATTCCCTTCCATTTTTTTTCCTTCTGTTTTCCCTCTTGCTGTAACAGTTCGATTTGTGGTGTAATTCTTTCTCGATGTTTCTTCTTTTTCATATTGCTGAACTTCTTTCTCTTTGCATCTGAAATTACGAACTTTTGATATGGATTGTTTTCGGCTTTTCTTATTAGTTGAAAACTATTAATGGATGCTTATTCTGTCATGGCTTCATAGTTTTTTCGGTGTTAAATAAGTATTGGATTGTTGAGATGAGTTTGGGGGGAATGGATAATGGAGTTACATAGATAGAAAGATTAAAAAGTTTTTTGTCTGAGTCTGCAGGGCTGACCATTCTCTTCTGAATTTCTGGCAATATGCAACATGCATCATTCAGCTAGGAGCATTGGAGTAAACGTGAGAAATATATTAACAAAGTGATGGATTTACATTGAGACTTTGTGTTGTTCAGTTAAGATGAAATTTTCTGCAATTGGTTCAGTGGTATCTCTTCAAATTCCTTCCCCGCTTTGTTTAGTTCAATGCGGATTTTGTAAATTTAGGTAAGGTGCTGGGAATCTGAGACGGCATTCGTCAATATTAGTTTCAGGATAGTGTCTCCTTTCTTGATTCAATTCTTGATTTGAGAATAAAATAAATCCAGAGATAGTTGATAATTAGTAAATTAACGTGTTGTTGAAAAGGATTTTTAGTGACGAAAGTGATTGAGCTGTACTAAAGGATCTATGTTTCGTGATAAATATTTTCCAGCGTTTCTTCTGCTTTAAGAGAAGATAACAAAGATACACTTATCTCTTGAGAGTGTTGTGGTAATCTTAGATGAGTTTGCAGTTCTCTCTTCTTTATGGTTGTGGCAAGTCTTTTTTTCTTTTTCTGTATACATTTCTATACTTCTTTGGAGTTTTAGCTCTTTTATTGTCAGAATATCATTGACCATCTTACTGAACCTTTGATAGTAATCTTTTTATAAGTTGTTAAGCAGAGAACTAGACAAACAGAATTCAGGAATCAACAAATTCTCGAAGATACTAGACTTCCTGTATTAGAAAGGAGACCCGAGATTTTTCAGCCCATGACAAGTTGGATTTTACACTCCCTTCCATGTTCTACGCATTTCAGCGTGTCAAATTTAGTTGCTTTTGGTAGTAATCTCGAGGAGTTTTTGGTTGACAGGTACTGGGTAATGCTCAAGTGCCAGTAGAGAATAACAGCAAGGGAAATTGGTGTAAACTTGAACCATTTTCAGTGTCACTTAACTATGTATTTCTACTGTGGATATCTTCTGTACGTCTTCCCTAGATATCTGAGGATCACCATAAGTTGCTTTTGATTTACAGAAACTGCTTTTTTTTGGGGTGGGGGCTTGGGGGGGAGGGGTGCAGTTTGGAAGAAAGACTGCAGAAAGTTGAAATATGAAGCAGTAGAAATTGTCAGCTCCAATCATGTAGCAGTTAACTGCAATGCACAAATCCCAGGCATGAGAAAAATTTAAGAGAGCTTAAAGGAAACTATATCTGAGTGATCAGAACACTTAAAAACTGATACGTGCAATGCAGTAGAATGCACGAATGTCATACAACTTCAAACACACTCAGGATTCCGTTACTTTACATAATGCCTTTGCTTTACACACGCTAAACTGTATTATTATCAAAATCCTTGATCAAAAGTACACAAAGCAGCAATACTAATAAACTTGAGGTGGGAATGCACAGCCAGCCTTCCCTAGTCTTTGAAACAGGTGTGCGTGCTTGGCATCCATCACCTCACAAGCACGAAAGATACATAGAACATTTGCTGCTGTTTCTGGTTTTTGGAGAGACTTGGAGTTTGTGTGGGCAATAAAATTGGATTTTACAGAATTTTGAGTAAATTTTTTTGTAGAATTCAATTTTAATTCTACACACATTCCAACAATTCTCTCAATAAACCATCCACAGCCTTAAAAGAGTGAAACAACACGGTCAAGTGTTTTCCTGGAGACCTGCAAGGATCATCAGATACAAAATTGGAATCAATCTGAATCAAGCTGCAAACTTTAAAAGCCATTAAAAATGATTTGTAAGATTATACACTCGGTTAAGGCAAATAGAAACTCTTTTTAGAAAAATATATTCATCCTTTTAATCTACGTCATAGCTAGCTTCAAATAACACTTAAAAAGATATTGACGTTTTTAATTGGCACATAAACATATGCTATACATTGAATTTAAAACAAAGACACTACATAGCACCACTACCAAACATTACCTCGCACCAGTGCTCCTAAGTGCAACTAGTATAACTTTAGGTTGGTTTTATTTGATTTGCTAAGTCTGAAAGTTAGTCTTTATAAGCAGTGGTTTCAAAGCTCCAATTAGATATAGAGAAAGATCCCCATTGTTTATTCATGATCCGTATATCTCCTTCCATACAAAACATCAACAACAGGAAAAATATGTTCTATAAATTAATGTTTTGAAACTCAGACCAGGTAGCAACTGGGAAGTTAAAAAAGGGTTTGAATAGAGACCAGTAGTTCAAAAAGGAATGGTTTCATAAGTATATAAGATTCTCTTAGATAATATGAAAAAAACAAAAACAATGAAAAAAAAAGAAAACAAGGTGCACAAATAAATAAAGAGATTAAACCAATTTTTTCCCCTAATTTCTTATCCAAAAGCTACCCACTTCCCGTGTCACTTATTAAATAATTCAGAGCAAAACAAGCTAGCCACTTCCTATTTACTAAGTAAATGTTATTTACACTCCCATTTTTATTAAGAGTAAATGTCATATACTGCACTACTACAGTTGAATATACGACACATACGTAAAATTTGAGTTTCAAATTTAAATTCGAATTATGTTTTATGTATCTAATGATGAAAATGTATACACTGTCAGTATATAGAAAATTAACCTTTTTATTAATCACACTCCCACTATCATTCCTTTATTATTATTTTTTCCATAAGTAGAAAAGCTCAAACCAGAGAGCAACAGAAATTAAGAAAGATTGGCATAATTAGTGATACCATACCTAAATCTCCTCTTCAGCCATGCCTGGTCCCCCGTATTTTGCAGGAAGGAACGCGAAACATCTGTTAGAAAAGTAGTGTATTTAAGCACATCAAAACCTTCAAGGTAAATAAAATAAGTTAATTGAGTTTCACAGATCATACTACTACACCCATAAACAAAAAAAAAAAGAAAAAAAAAAGGAAACAAATACTACCCCATCCGATCTGCCGAAAAGTTATTAGCATGCATAATTAGACGTTACTGCATAGTAAATTAATACAAATCATAACCAAAAAACGATGATAAGTCAAATTTACAAGTAGTAGATTATGTATGATCCACCACTATTATTTGAAATTAAATAATTAGTACTGGTTCAGTGCATGATGGTGATAATAATAATGTCAAATGATGCGCATGAAGCCTTGTTAACCTTCTCGACTAATGATCAAACTTGTGAACCTCTTCGTTTGGATTGACCTGTTTTTCAAATATAATACTACAGTAACACACAAACAAAAAAATAATTTTTTTAAAATATATATGATTCATACAATACATCAAAAACAACTCATAAATATATACAAAAAATTAAAAAAAACTTACAACATTTTTCACCTCTTAATACAATCACCACTATCCACCACCGCCACCATCCCGCCCTCCTCCTCCTCCTTTCCCCCTCACCCTCTAGATCGAGATCTCTGATCACGACTTTTTGGTCGCGATCTGGAGACCAGAGGTCTCGATCTTGTCAAAATCAGATCAAGGGAGAAGGGAGGGCCAGAGGGTGAGGGAAAGAAAAGAAAGGAGGAAAAGAGAATGAAAAAGGGAAGAAGAGGAAGGGGGAACAGGAAGGCGGTGGTGGCGGTAGCGGGTGATGGTGATGGTTGTTGAAAATAGTGGTGGTGGTGGTTGTGCGTGATAATATTAATTTTTAAAAAATATCATAAAAATATTTTAATTTTAAAAATTATTTCAAAATATATTCCAAAAATTCCTTAAAAATATCACAAAAAATATATTTACAATAAAAAATTTTTATATACATTATTACATTAAAATATTTCAAAAACACCTTTGAAAAACACCAAACATATCAATACAAATATTTCGATTGCTATTTTTTAAAATTTTTGTAAAAAAAAAAATACAAAAAATCCTACTTGATTGAAAAAAACGCGGAGAAAAATAGTAATCCAAACGAAGGTAATTTGATCACAACATGAGTTGTTGTGTTCCCACAAGAAAAAAATTGCACAAACACTTTTGGGAGGAGGGGGAGAGCATTTAATCTATCAAAAGCAGCCTCAGATCAGACGTCAACTTTACAGAAGAAGTACTTGAGTCTGAAGAGGTTGAAGTTTGCTCTTCTGGCTCGAAGAATAACTTGACCGTGTCGGTTACTGTCGCAGAAGACTGCCGCCCAAGCGAACAAGTCCTGAGGAAGAATGTATTTTCCTGTCCAACTTCCATTTGCATAAACCAGCAGGATGGCATGTTCAAGACTGCCCTGATCATCACTGTTGAAAGTTGAGGCCTTTACTCTTATAGACTTGCCTGGTTCGATCCTAACAATTTTCTTGAACCTATCAGGCCTAGAGCCATCCACCCACATCTTGAATTCTATGTTGAACCAAGTCCTGTTTTCTAGGACGGTAAGCTTATCTCCCATTTTCCAACAGAGAGGGGAAGTTCCAGGTGTTCCCATTTTCCAGGTGCTCGTGTGCAGGTGTAACAGGGAAGTAGAAATGGAGAAAAGACAGAGACAGAAGTCAGTGCTCGTGTGCTGTTATGTGCGGAATATTATGCTTAGAGGAAGTGGAGAGGTGAACTTTGATTTATAGAAGTGTAAGAACCTTGGTATATTTTCGCAAACTCAACAAGGGAATTTGTATAATTACACTATGGTTGGATTAACATGTTTTCTTTTTATTTTCTGCTTTGAGGTTACTGTTTGCCAGTTCCCACTAATCAAAATGATGCATTCTACTCTCTAGTCTCTAGATCACATTATTTAAAAGCACCATTTTGAAAAGCAATTTAATACTTAAAGTTAATGAATTCATTTCTGTACCGTGTTTAATAATAAAAATAAAATATTTAAATTAATTAAATGATATTAAAGTTTTTAAATAAAATTTACTTTTAAAAAATAAGTAATAAATTATTTACTTTATCATTTAATGTGATATATATTTAAGTACATTTAATTCAATATATAATTATTTAATAATTTAATAAATGTAAAATTCAAATTACAAATTTTAATTTTATCAAATCCGCACTTCGTCTCAACTCTGACTTTTTGGCCCTTCTTCTAAAATTTGAAGTCTCCCTTGCAGTAAATAGAATAACGATGATGAGCATGCGTTAAAGATTGGAAATTGCCATTTCCTCCACTGTTACCTCATCCTGATCGGCAAGTTTACCCCTGCGTCCATTAATATCACTGTGGGTGGACCATTAACGCGTCCCCAGGGCCCGTGGCAAACTGGACCTTTTCCGTCGTTTAGGATTTGGATAAAGAAAGGCCGGCTAAGCTGATGAAAATGTAGGCCACTCACCTCTTTGGATCCTTGCTCAAAGCTTCTTTTTTTTTTTTAATTTACTGCTAATTTATCCTAATTTAAAGAAAAAGAAAGTTTAAAAAAACTGTATATAAGGTGTTAGTAAGTATAAAAATTTATTAGATTTTTTTTTTATGGTCATTGAGCCAAACCTTAGTAGTTATCCTTGCTGAAAGTATCACAGATGCGAATAGTCATGAGTGCCTCACATCACCATTGGGGATTTATCTACATTAATTCAAGCTCTAGTCATCAGGCTTGCCTAGAGAGTGAGAGATAAGGCTCCCACTTTAATCAAAGTAGTGGTCAATGTACAGTTTGTGTCTGCCACTTAATTTTGTGAGACTATTTTAAGATAAACAGGTATGGAGAAGTTACGAGGATAGTTACTGGAAGTTGGCTTTGCATGCTTGCATTTACTGTATTTTTCTTTTAATTTTTAGTGGTAAATTTCAAATTTAGACCTCTTAATTACATTTTCTTCTTTACATTATTCAATTTATCCCTCCTCTCGCATATATTATACTAGGCATTCGACCCCGCGGCTGTCGCGAGGTGCCCATACTATGTAAAAGTCTCTGGAAATTTCGCAGATCATGAATATGAAAGCAAAAAGCATCTGCCTTTTTTATATATAGATGATCGCTATTCAATAGGCAAAGAGATAACAAACATGGTATGCAAAATCAAATAGAACAAAGCAGAATAGACTGAGCAGTAAGCAAAGGAGAAGCAATTAAGCGAAGAAAGGATTGCTTTACCTGAATAATAAACGGTTAATAGGATCGCGGAAAACTTGGGTGCACTAAATGAACTGGTATGATCATGGAAAAGGCACACACAGTGAGCATGAGCAAAATACACCAAAATGGGAAAAGTAAGGAGATTTTTTAAATTTGTTAATAGTTTATGGAGTCAGCTAACGTAAAAAAATTCAGAGTTAATGCAGACTAAAAAGCTGCAACAAAGAAAAATGATTCTGCGCGAAGTATTGAGTTTTTTCGCAAAAATCATGGAAACAAAACAGATATTCTTAGGTAATTAACCGGGAGGAAAAAAATGATAGAAACATAACTTCAACCACAAGAAAAGAAAATAAGTAACTGCAGATTAACTAAGAGCAAACGAGGAAAAGGTCAACCAGGAAATGCAGTAAAGAAAAACAAGGACATACCTGATTAAAGCCGACGCGAAGCTGAGAATTCGACACAGGGATCAGGGAAAGCCAATAGAAAATAAAGAGCTAACAGAAAGGCGCAAGAGAGAAGAGAAACATCTCTAAAGCATTATAATAGCTGCTAGACCGTAGATGAAGAAAACCAAATGAAAGAAACTGAGAGCGAAAAGGTTAATGCAGACGGAATGCATAACCTTCAACTATACAAAGAGTTTGTGGCCTGGCAGAACGAAGCACGTGCATGCATTAAATGTGACTAACGATTGCAAGTCCACTACGACTGTATGTAATCTGTGAAAGAACCGAATGAAACAAGCATATCTCTATCTTTAAGTACACGATATGAGCTATACCTACAGGTGTAACTTGTAATCTGTAACCACGTAAAATAAATTTTGCGCCACGTAACCTTTAATCACCAGAGAAGAGCCACGTAAAATTTGATAGCATGTAGTGGCATCGTAGAGGAATTGCTATGTATTTTGCTAAATAGACACAAAAACTTTAAATTAATAATTGAGAAGGTAAAAAATATTTATTAGATAAACAGGAAATTTAAATTTGTGTCCATATGTATACATATATATATATATAAACATTTATTAGATACAAACAAAATTTAAATTTGTGTCGATATATATACAGGTATATAAATTTCCGGAAATAAATATTCTTGTCAATATATATTTGGCTAAAAATCAGTTATATATAAAAAAACACAGAATTAATCATCACTTTGCCAATATTAAAACGCAAAAGCTTTAAATCAATAGTATTAGATACACACACAATCTGTCCTGATGTGTACCTTTTAAAAAAAAATCCATATTTTTGTTGACATGTATATTTGGTTTATAATTGATTTATATTTTATATTTCTTAGATATGGAGATATTTTATTTTGCGATTTATATTTATTAGATATAGACATATTAGAAAATAAAACACGATCATAATAGCAAAAGGAAACAATTAACTTGTAACTGGAGCTTGAGGGGAAGCTTTAAACTAATATAATTCAGTATATATTAATATTAAAACCAAATTTGTGGCGGTCACATAGTGCGAGCAAAAGACACCTGGAGCTTTACGGGCACATATTGGGAGCAGAAGACATAGTATTCTATATTGGAACACGTGTAAAGATTTGTAATATAATTTTTGTAATGTAGTATGGATTTGTCATATTTTGTATTATTTTGAATGATTATGATTTTGATATGTTTTTCTATTGGTAGAGTAAGTAATTGTTTTGCAATTTTTTGGTATTTTTATTGTTTACGATATATTTATGTTTTGTCTAGTTGTGATTTGATTATTGGTTCTAATTAATTTTATGCTAGCGAAAGTTGCGAGAAACTTGTAAAGAGTAATTTGGCAGCCAAAATTGGTGATTTGTTTGCCTATCATTTTTTTTTTTTTTTGCTATATATGGATGGATATAGTAGCTATGGATGGATACAGTAGCATTTTTTTTGTTTTTGAAATCCAAACACAATGAACCAACATAATACGGCAGACCATAAAAGATTTCGCAAAAACCGTGAGAGGTGCAAGAAATCTGGGCAGGCATGTGCAGCAGGCAACAGGGGGAAAATGCCAGTTTTCATCCCTAAACTTTGGGGTAAGGACACATTTCGTCCCTCAACTTTTGGCCTCAACACATTTGATGTCTGAATTAATAATTTTTGACCAATGTTATCCTTAAACGGCTATTTTGCCAATTTTTAAACGGATAGTTAAGTATTCTTTTTTTCTTTGTCTGAACAAAAACAAAATCAGGTAAGTATCCAGCTGTCTCCACTTTCCCTTCTACGAAACCAACCTGAACTTGATTTGCTCTCTTCTAACCCTTTTCTTTCACTTCGGCAACAACCAAATCGCTTTTGTCCAAGACTAAGCTTTGTTTGCAAATTTCTCCGAGAGTAAACCCCCTCTTCCAAATCAAATTCTATCAACAAATCGAGAAGAAACTAGCATAAGGCAACAGCCAGTGTTGTGGCTGCATTTCCATAAAATGAGATCGAGAAGTCTTGAGTCGTCATCGTCATCATTATCAACATCAAACAACAACACCCGGCTCTGTGGCTGTGGATTGCGGGCAAAAATGGCAACATCATGGCGGGATAATAATCCTGGGAGACGGTTCTATGGTTGTTCAAGATGGCCTGTAAGAAAATTTTTATTTTTATTACTCTTTTGGCCCAAATTAATTGTGCTTTGCTGATGTTTCTGAATGGGTTTATATTTGTAGAGACCTGATAGGTGTAAATATTTTGAATGGCATGATGAACCAATTTGTACAAGAGGAAGGATGATTATACCAGGTTTGTTAAGAAGGGTGAATCGGATGGAAGAAACAATTGCAAAAAGCCGTAGAAGCGAAAAAATATTGATTGGCATCATCATACTATTGGCTATGCTGCTGATTATGTCTATTATTATGAAAAAGACTGGACATGCAATGGAGCGAAAGTTAGTGCTAAGCTTGGAGTGAGTTATTGAATTGGAGCTGCTAAATCTGTTCATTTTGGTTTTTGTACTGTTTTTGATTGGATTAGCAGCAGTAGAACTAGCATTGGATGGAATAAGATTATGGTGCTTATGATCAGAGAAACAAGGATGATAAAACAGAATGAGATGATTATGATGAGGCTTTGTAGTTTTTTTTGTAGATTTCTTGACGAAGATAATCCTGAGTAGAATGATGGCACGACCAGATGAAGATGATCCTGTAGGACTGCTTGTTCCTTGTGTGTGTGTGTGCGAAGAGATAAAGCCAAAGAAAAGCATCCAAGCTCAAGAGTGAATGTTGTTGGTTTCAACAGCCACTAATTATGACACTAGAATGTGAAGGTTATTAATTATCTGTGTATCATTATGTACATTTAGTCTTAAACTTAACCACTATATGTAATGAGTTAACGTTTTGTCATTTACTTGGGGTACTAGAGTTTTTCTTTTCTTCCATATTATATTACTTAGTTTCTCAAGTTCAATACGTTTGACCTGTAGAATTTGTCATCACTAAATCAAGGGCTCTTGATTAAAAGCCCTTGAACAAGAGAAAGCAAGAAAACATGAATCTCATATCTCAAAAGGGAGAAAAATTACTATTAAGAAAATGTGTAATTAAGT